GGCTGTAATGGGCTGAGGGAGGCACAGTTTTTTGTCCAGTCTCCACTGTGGATAGGGAACTTGGAGCATGGTTGTACTCCAGTTCTGAGCACAAGGATGTTGGCTTGGTTTTGGATGCACAGGGCATCGTCTTCCTCTGCAACTCTGAAATCTGAATGGTGGGATCTTGCTGTGTTTGCAACTTGCAAGTGTGATGAAAAGGACTACATTTTGTTGTAGTAGGCACGTTTTGTTGGACTAGTCTTGAAAACAGTCTTGTATGTGGACTCCATGTGCATCAAAAACAGTAAATCTGGGTAATGCACTTTGGAGTTTTTAAGATCCATATTGGGGAAATAGAAGTCGCTGAAATGATTGACATAAATATTCATTTTCATGGACTTTTCATTACTTGATAGATACTGTAGAGCTATCAAAGCTGAGCTGAGTAGGATGACTCCATCACACTGGACCTGCTTATTCATCCCCTGTTGTCGTTTGGGTCAGAGAAAATAGCTCTGCTTAGAGATGTAAAACTTCTAGTGTATCTGAATGCTTTGGGGATCCAATAAGCTGTTATATAAAGTTTTAGGTCTGTTTTTTAGTTTGTGATAGGGCAGGAATGTCATGCGCAGCAAAACCATTTTGATTTAGGAAATTTAATTCAATTTAGTTTATTGCCAATGAAGATGAAGACAAACAAACAGAAAAGACACCTCATCTTCCCTGCAGACATCTCTCCAACCTCTTCCTGGTCTCTCAGCCCCTTATCACAGGTAGTGCTCAGAAGATGGCGGTCAGTGCCTGTGGTGGCTCTTTTTTTGTTTTCTCCTTTTAAACTCAATTCCTCCATGGGCCACAGTCACCTCCGTGTTATACCTGCTCCCATGTCTGCTGTTTGCTCCTGCTTGGGCAACTCTTTGCTCCAGCCCCTGCTCAGGTGTCATCTCCTTGTCTGTTTTTTTCTCCAGCCTCAGTCCTGGTCTGTTCTTGTCTGCACAGGGCAGTTCCCTGACCTCATCCCTCACAGTGCAGCACCCTCCCTACTGAAACCCTGTCAATTTAGCCCAGTATGCAGGTGGAAGGAAGGGGTGTGTGTAATTTTTACTTTTTTTTTTTTTTAAGCATCATTAACACACCGTAAGGGGGGGCAAGTAGGACATGAACTAATGTTGCAGAAGTTCATACCTTCTTTTCAGTGGCCTTGTTTTTACAGTAACTAAGAGAACAGAATCCCAGCCTTGAGAAGTTGTAGGTATTATGGTGATGAAAATAACTTTGGAGCCATGGTAAACAACAGTGTGGGGAAAGAAACAAGAGGAAGGAGGTCTTCAGCACTAGTGTTGGCATAGTCTGGAAGTACCAGACCTCTCAAAGAATACATGCGTTTTCTAAAAAGGTAAATATTAATTATAGATTAGCAAGGAAAGTTCTTTCTAACCTTCTGTACTAACTTGAACTTCTTTTGTGAAAGCTTAAATTAATCTAATGTGGAAAAATGAAACCTTAGGTTCTTAGATTCAGTAGTCTGTATTTTTTTGAAAAGGGTGTGTTAAGATGTCAAAATAGAAAGAATGGTTGAAGACACTGTTCATTCAACTATTAGGACACAGGCTTTTCTCCTAAGCCTAGCCTAGGACTGATCACATATCAATGAATGGATTTCTGTATCAATGATGGAAAAAAATGATGTGACTCTACCTGCTTAAGTGGTATCTTATGCTTCTTTAGACCTCGCATTGCCACTCAAGTCCAGGAGGACTTCTCACTTCTTTTTAGTCTGTGTTTGACCATTGTAACATTGCAGTCTAAGCCAATTAAGAACAGCAGCTTACTAGCCTTAATGTTTCTGCTATGCCCAAGCGGACACTTCTAATAGTCAAATTGTGTTACTATGGCATTCTTGCTAGTTTCTTCTCTTTTTGTTCAGCATCAGGATATTTCTGGAAAAATGAATGACTTCTCTTTGTAATTAGCAATGAGTTCTTGTCTTAGTTCCAATTAGTGTCTTTAATGAATACTAAATACTTTCTGGTAATGAAAGAATGACAAGAGAAAACTGAAAGAGGAAGAGGAGAGAGTGATGAGTAAGGAACTGATAGGGGGTTTTTACAGGATTATTTTTTCTTATTTAAAGCTGTTCTCTTTGTATCTCAACTCTGTGTAGGCAAAAGTAGATTTTTAATTTTTTTAATATATAAATAAGTGTTATATATGATAAAATATAATTTGTATATATATAAATTTGCCTGAGCACTTAGCAAGGGAAAACGGAAACTATTTAACTAATACATTTATAACTAATATTAGTTAAGATGAATTAACTGAAACTTCCAGACTGGGAGGGCATCATGTCCTCTGCGAATAATGGAAGAAGAAAAAGTTTGAGTAAAGATCGATTAGCTGAAGTTACAAATCTCGTATATGTTTTTTATATTACCTTTTGTTTGTTTCTGAACATTTTAGCAAATCTAAAATTTAAGTAGCTCTATAGTATGTTGCTACAGAAAAGTACGGATGACCTAATTGTACAGCAGCGTTAGTAGCTACTTTAGTAGCACATCACTGACTGATTTGATAACATATTTAGTCCTGGAGATATAAGGTGCATAACTTCCATTTGTTTGAAAAATAATCATTATAAATGTTCATCATCAAGCGTAAAAATGTTGGTTCTAATTCTAGAGACATCTGAAATCTATCATCTTTGTCAGAAAAAAATCCTGATTACCCCTGTAATCTGGCAAAATCATCCAGCTAGTTTAACGAAGGGAGCTATCCTTTTTCCACAGAGTGTAGATGGCTTGTCATTCAGTAAAGCTGTAGTTTCATTTAAAATATGGAAAGAAAAGACTGTAATGCTAGTTTTATCAGCAGTGATTAAAAAACTGTAAGTAAGCTTCATTTACGCTGTTCCATACCTAACTGTAATGCATACCCCAGACCCACGCACGTTCCCTGCGAAGTGGTCTGGTTTGTCTTTGAGCAACACTGCTGAGGAAGTAGCAGGAATATGCAGGCCACCTCGTTAAACAAATTGAGTATATGCAGATGGGGCTATGGGAGTTTTTTGTGCTGACAGTGCAGGCAAGCAGCACCTTAGGGCTGAACGGTCAGACTTTTACTGACACTCCTACTTGCTTTAGTCATATAGTTTTCGCTTACCTTGTACATATTAAAATCCTAACCTGTGGTATGTTGAAAGTCCTAGTTGTGTGATAAACTGTACCGTGACAGAATTGAATATCAGTGCTGGTCAAATGTGTATTCATTAACCACACATCTACAATTTGGATTCACCTCTTCTTTTGTCTTTTTAGTTAATGTGGTCAGAGCTTTTATTTTCTTCTTTCAATGTCAATCTTCATCCAAATAATTGTCAGGCTTCTAAGATTTTTGTTTTGATGCGCGGTTTAACTTTCCAAAGTTAAAGAACTGGTTGCATTGTGGTAATATTCATCACATTACATTTGGATATGCTTAACTGGGAGGTAAATGCAAAATGTATCTAATATTGAAGACAAGAACTAAAGTTTAAGTATGATTGAAGAAGTAATTGTAGATACTTGAAAGAGCGGTAAGAATTAGTGTAAGGGTTCTGTTAAACAAAAGGGCTATAAAAGTCACCTTTGCATAACCTTTGCGTGCAAGGGATTGGCATCAGGCAAACAGCTACCCAACCTCCTATAGCTTGGTGATTTAGAAGATGAGTTGGTGCTGAGGGTACAGTGACATTTGTATGGAAGACTAGCATGTGCATTAATCCCCTGGGCCTGCCTTTCTTCTTTAGCTTTCACTGAAACTCGCTGTTTTGCTGTCTTTGGTCTGTTCTATATCCTTCTGTCACTTCTTCCAACACCCAACGTAGAAGAACACCACATCTTCTGGCAGATGAGCTTCTGGGAGCCTTAACTCCCAGCTGAGTAATAGGATTCTGCTGCAGAAAGCTGCTGGTTTCAGCTGCTCTTGCTGCCAAGCAGTAGAGATATTTCTGAGAGCTCACATGTATCCCTTTGTAATGAGGCCAGATTAAAACCCTTTGACTATGAGTACCCAGAATCTTAGTTTTTTCTTTTGCTTTTATTTTGGGCAGAAAAAATGTATTAAAAACTTACCTCTTAAGGGAAAATGAGGGCAGGAACAAAGGATATGTTTCTTCATATCCTGGAACTGGGAGAAAACAAGAGTCCGAAAACCTAAAAAGTTAAGTCCAACTTAAAGTTCTGGGACTTAGTATCTTTGGGATTTGATGGCAACGTTCCCTGAAGAATACAGCAATCTATTTGTTGCTAAAACATAGCTAAATTTGAACTGACAACTATTGTAGTGATATTAAAATATTTTTAGATTTCTGTGCAATGCTCTACATCCTGGTAATGATCATGGGGAAAATAAGTTGTAAATTCTAAAGTACAGTAGGTTTTTTTTACCTTACACAATTTTAGTTGCTAACCAGTTAACTTCAAACCACGTATGTTACACATATTTAGTGTTGCTATGAAAATGTTCAGGTGTGAAGGTCCAAAGAGTGAGGGTTTCACAACACATTTTCCTGGCCTTAATTAATGTAAGTTTCATAGTAATTGCATTGACTCAGCCAGTTCAGTTTCAGATTATGGCTAAAATTGATTAGAATAACGAGGGTATTAAAAGATATTTGAGAAGGGGGTTTAAAGTCATACACGTTCTGCAGTGTGCAGTGTAATGAGATGAAGTTATACATGTATTAATGCCAGTTAGTTTAAAGGGGTGGATGGAGGGTGAGGGCTGGGAAGATGATGGGACAGGGCTGAATCTAATTAGAGATGTCTCTCTTTATCTGACTTTACAGCTGGGTGCGGATTTTTGCCTTGGAAGGCTTGCATTTTGCTTGCAAGTGTATATTAATGCACTTGTCTGCTTAATGCAGCATCACATACAGAAGTTCTTAGGAAAAAATTATCATGCAAAGTGAAATGTGTACACCCTGGTGGGCACAACTGGCAGATAACTTGTGTGCAACAATGTTAGGTACAAATTAGATTCATGATTTTTACTGTCTGTCCTTCAGGGAACAACCCATCTTCAGCACCCGAGCTCATGTCTTCCAGATTGACCCGAACACTAAGAAAAACTGGGTTCCCACCAGCAAGCATGCTGTTACTGTGTCCTACTTCTATGACAGCACAAGAAATGTCTACAGGATAATCAGTTTGGATGGCTCAAAGGTAAGTTTTATTTCAGAAAACTTGCTTGCTTCATCAGTTTTTGTATTTATTTTCTAGTGTGATGTCCTTCCTCAGATGCTTTTGTTAATATCTGAGTAACAGATTACTGACATGTTAAAATGGTAACATGGCTTCATTACATGTTTTAAATACTTCATTACATGTTTTAAGTGTTTATTCAAAAATGCTATTTTCCATGTGTTCATATTTACTTTGATAACTCTATTGCTGCATTTAAGTGATGACCTATTACTTAGGCTAAAAAGACATTCCCTGTGAAATGCACTAAAAAGTACAAATAGCGTTACAATAACCTGTTTTCATCTCCTCATTCAATGTTCTGTCAATATTGTTTGCTTCAGCATTATGAAGGACATCTGTTCAGTGCCCATAATCACTTAGGAAATCCTTTGTTATGTAATCTTCCAATTTTTTTGCTGTAGAGAATGTGAGGATTCCTTCCTAATAAAGCTCTCCATGGTAAGCTTTTATCAAAACTCAGTTGGTTTGGGTTTGGATTTTCTGGGGAGTGTTTTTTCTTTTTTTTTCTTTTTTTTTTAATTAGGAAGGATAATGTATTGAGCTGCTGTTTTAAGAAACCTTGTCTAAGAAATTAATCTGACATGGAGAAAATACTTGACTGGTTCTACCCCAAGTGGGTATAAAAACAGTAACTTTACAAACAGCACATCAGAAAACTCTGCAATAAGGACAATAAAGATACGTACAGAGCGTAGTCAAAAGTTCTAATCCTTTCAAGAGACTTTCAGTTGCAACTTCTAGAGATGCATCAGTTCATGATGGTTGGAACTGAAATGCTCTGTTAACATAGTAGTATTCTCAGAGATTTTGTGGCTGTTTATTGAAAGCTGAAAAATATTACCGGTAACTTCATTTTTTAAAAATATACAGAGTATTGTTATTTTAAATGAGGAAAGAGAATTTCTATCGTAAAGAAGTATACAGAAATAGACCTCATAGTCAAAGATCTCTGTATGATACTACTTTAAGTGATTGAGACTCTGGTATCAAAGCCTACCAGAATTTTTCAAAGTTAACTCTCACTTTGTTTTTTTTCTTCCCAGCCTTCCTTCAAATGATTCTTTTAGTTCTGTCAAGTAATTAAAATACCTTTTGTGTGACTATAAATAAAGACTTTGGGATTGGAACTAGATGCTGTATAAAATCAAGACTACCAGTTGTAATCTGTAGCAACTTAACTGATCTGCACAGTTTACAGAATCCTTATTCTGGTGTCCACTGGGGTTCCTCTGCCTTTGTCCAAAGCTGCAACTCTTGCAAAGTGGCTGCTGAATTAAATTGTCAAGCAGTTGTTCATCTATTTATTTGTTCTTTTGTCAACTGCAGTGTTTCATTTACATTTGCAATACTATTGGCAAGGCGTATTGATAATGCAGTCTCACTTTTATTTACTCTGTCTGTGATTGCTGCAATCCTAATAATGTTTTAATCCAAGTGTTAGAGGTCTGACTAAGATCTAGGATCCCAGTCATAATTAAGAAAGAGCCATTGTGTTAGGCATTGAAACAAACACAGGTGAATAGCAAGGGGACCCATGGAAGAATTTCAAAGAGGTTTTCAGGATAATTCCCAGAGAAATTTTATTTTTGATTAAAGCCCCATCTTTTTTAACATGTCTGCATATATACAATGTAGTATGTACAAAGGGCTAAATATAAATATAAAGCATTCTTGAGTTTGGAGTGCATCAAGATAGTGTCTCTGCTATATGACATACGGCTGGGCGTCAGTACCACTATTGGCGTCTGAGCTTGCAATGCCTTATATTGTTGATTGGTTAGACAGAAGCGTTAAATTTGCAAAGGAGAAAAAACTATGCAATTTAATTCTCCCATTTAAGTTTTAAAATTAAACTGAATAAAGATGATTTTATGGTTGTTTTTTTAAAAAATAAATTTTACATTGAAAATGTCCTGAATGCACATGTTGCCAGTGGCCAAAACCACCTGTTGAACCATACTGGTTTTGAAGCTGTCATGCCCCTCCCTTGAAGGGAATAGGTCCAACCAGGTTTTATTGTATACCTTGGTGCTGGTGGGGTTTACAGCACCCTGTGGGTTTGTATGGTGGAGAGAACAATGTGCATATGGCTGCTCAGTTACAACGGCTCAGGAGCTGAGCAGTAAGTCAGTAAGTGATGGCAACTCACATGTATGTTCACCTAGACTGCAGTAAGGAAAGTTTGAGAGAGAGATACTTTAGATTTGAGTGATAATCCTATTTCTGTCCCACACCCTTCCCTCTCTTTAGGTCAGTGGGTTTCAGTAAGATTCCTGGATAAAACTTAACTTCTTTACTGATTGCCTGAAAGTCATTAAATCTTTCTTCCTGAAAACAAAAGGACATTTTTAAGACCTGAACTTCACTCACCTCTGAGGGATGCTTTTGTACATTGCAGATTCCCACTTGAATTTGCTTGTGGGGCCCTTTGGTTTATTTTGAGAGAGGTTTTTTTTTTCCTTCTTCCCTGTCAATGGGTCTGTGAGCCAGATTCAGCTGAGATAGCTCCTATAGAAGCAAGTTCTGCTTATTTTTAATGCATTCTATGTAATGTTGTTTTCTGAAGCTACAGTCACCTCTTAAAATACTTTATACAAGAAGTGATGCATCTCCCTCTAACCTGACTCCAGAAAATGTTACAGGACCATAAGGTGTCAGTATACAGGCCGTATTTTATAGTCATGTACAGTATCTGGATCCCTGTTGCCCATGGCCTGGAGATCCTGATGCAAATTATCTGATAGAACTTGAGGCTGGTTTCTGTGACCTCTTGAGTAAGTATCTTTTATGCAACCTTTTTCTCCTACCACTCTAGGAATAAGAGAAAGCCTGAAAAGTAAAATTTCTTACACTATATGACATGACAACACTGAGCAGTTGTTGCTAAGGCTTTCAGTTCACATTAATTACATAGTCATTTCATAGCTCCTTGGGAAAATGTGTTTTAGTACTTCTTTCTCTTAGGTGATGGAGGGAAGCCTCCATTATTTCTCCAGTAACACTGCAGACAGACACTAGGACTATTCCCAGACTCCTGCTCTTTTTTCTGTTCACTGAGAAAAGAAAGGAGATTAATTTTCACAGATGCAAGATAGGGAAAAAACTCTAATAATTTGTGCTCATCTAAAACAAGAGAAGACTCTAGAAAGGAGTGGTTTTCCAATCTGTAGATTCCATAAGCCTTGTATATATTATTTCTGAGTCAAGTCTCCTACCAGTGTAACTGCAGTAGAAGATCTTTACATTTTAATGACTGTTATAAAATAGTCACACATTAAAGTGTTAACCTGTTCAGTGCTAAATACACGTTTTAAGTAAGGCCTGTAAGCACAGGTCTTCAGTGATCTTCCTTTGAAGAAGTGAAAAAAATACCATGTGTCTTAATTATTATTGCCATCAATTTTAGCACAAGATAAAACCATATTTGTCCACTGCTGTGTATCTTGCAGCTGCTGGGTTTGCAATCAGTAAAATGAACAGCTAAGACACATGCCCTGTTTTCTCATAGCTAAACTAATATGAAAGGAAGACATGAAAGCCATTTTACTATTCCAACAAAATCTAAAGATAAAAAAAATCAGTTTTCTTCAAAAGCTAAATGTCTGCCTGTCAGATTGACTCTGTTCTGTTTTTAAGATATTCTTGCACATTTATACTAACAACATTCTTAAAAGTTGATGAAATACTTGACACTTATTATACTGGTAACTCTACAGTGAAATCTGGCGTAGAGGAGAGCAGTTAAAGCATTATCTATTTAGGTAGACAAGACAGGCTTAATTACAAATTCTAATTTAAAAAATAATTTTTCTTTTTTTTAGCTGAAGATATGAAGGATCTAGTATTTTCCAGAAGTAGCTGACACTGTCTGTATCCATAGTATGCTCTAGCATTGCAGTTTTTAAAAGCATAATTAATTTAGGACGTGAGAAGTCTAGCATCCTAATGCTTTTAATTCAGAGAGGATTGAAGGCCTTGATTTCCTTGTAAAATTGGTAAATCTAATGAAAGGACTCTTTTGTATCACTTGGATGTGAATGTAGTCTTCCCAGTGAGAAACTTGCTGTCTTTGGACTAATGCTGTCTACTGGAGTGGAGCCTCCTTATTTTTCTCTTCTGGAAAATAAAGGGAAGAATCACAGGAACTTTTAATCAATACAATATTTTTTTTTTTTTTTAAGTTTTCTTCCTACCTTTCTCCATAGCAAGGAAGCAGTTTGGCAGTCACTGTAACCCAGCCTAAATGGAGACCACTGTCAGAACAGATAACCCCATTCTGGTCCAGGCAGCCTGTTCTGGGTTCTCTCTTGTGCATCCAGCCATGCGGTCAGCTGAAGCAGGGAGCAGTCTCAGCTAAGAACCAGTTGGTTTCTCCACGGTTTTTCACTGGTTTAATTTGCAATCAGATATGCCACTGTCACTGCAGCAAACGCCAGTTCTGCAGGCTTTAAACCTGCCTCTTGCTTGGAGGTCCTAAGTCTGTGTCTTCAGAGTCATCTACACTGAGGAAGTTACATCCATGACACACACTCTCAAATCTGTCATGTAAGTTCAAAATTAATCAATGGATGGAACTAGGGCTTCATGAAGCTAGACAACAGAGCTAGAGCTTGAATTGGGAGGAAGACTTTTTTTCTATACTGACCCCAGGATATTTAATTTCAAACATGTTACTGTTGACAGCTTCCATAGCAAGAGAGATTGAGCATTAAGTGAACTTGCACAGCTCTGTTCTGGGCTTCAACCAGGTTATTTCAAAAGTGGGCTTCCAAGCACTAACAGTGCACAGGAAGACAAGAAGCATACAACAAAAAAAGAGCTCCAGAACACCTCCTTTCCAAGAAGTCCACGTCCCTGTGTCACACTCTCTCTTCTGTCCTGTCTGGCATAGACAGCTGTTTTCTATGAGGTCAGTTGGATGGAGGCCATAGTGCAAGTGCAAGCCTGCTGGCTTTATATGGGCTCTGAACCTTATGCCTAGAGAGAGGAGAATGGTGTTTGAATTACCAGTAACTTCGCTAACCAGCTTCTCCTGTATGAAAATCGGAGGAGGTGTTTTGTGGACAATTAATGCTGGAGGTAGTTCTTCAGTCTCTGATCACACAGCAAATCCTGTCCTTGACCTGATGAGGCTTGTTGCTTCAAATGTAAGCTTTCAGGCATTCCAAAATTCTCCAATTGTTCACAACAGTAGCCAAAACTTGCATTTTGAGGCAAAGGTTATCAGAGAACTGCCTCTTTGATATCCTCAGCTACATCCAGTTTTGCTCTTCTAATTTAATGCAAGATAGTGGAGCTGCCAAAGCCACTGGAGAAGATGCCAGTTTTGTTAAATTCGTCTGTGCTGCAGTATTTTCGCTTGTCTTTCTATGTGTTACGATACAATGTGTTCTTCTGAACTTTCTTACAATATTCCTCTCTGCCACTTCATCTGAGAATCACTATATGCATATGGGAGCTGTTTGTGGGCTTAGCTGGCCCCTCAGCTGTAAATTTTTCAGGCTTGTCCTGTAGAATTCAGGGAAAATTTTATGTTGATGGTAGCTGTGCTCCAGTGCTACCCAAATCTCAGCAAAAGCAAAGGGTGCTAAGTAAACTCCATAAATACTCATTTTAATATCCACCCAGAAGGCCATCTCACACAAGAAGTATAGACTGATTTTGACTTCTAGAAGATCTTGGGCTTGGGAGAGCAGTACTTGGTCTCTCTGATGTTGAAGTTGCTCACTGTCCCCATCCTGAGAAAATACTGTTATTCTCTATGTATCTATACAGTTCCTGCTATTCAAAGAATAAAAGAAAGAGTCTTTATTTATGACAGAGAAGATGGTTTGGACCCTGTGGATTTTGTTGCTGCTCTAGGATTCTTCAGTAATCACTGACTTTAACTTGCCAGGGGTGAGGCAGGGGTTTTGATTTCATGGAAGCAGGAAACATACACAGTGATGTTCAAAAGATTCCTAACTCAGTACTGTAAGACAATTGCAGTAGGGCGCATACTGACAATAACCTTTGGAGCACAGTAACTGACATGTAAGAAAGATTCTGGCTGAATTGTTTTGCTCACAGTGTGTGCTATTTTCTGGGAAGTTTTAAGGGCTTTCTCTTTCACGTGGGTGTTGCAAAGCACCAGTGATTCATGAAAAGGGTTGTGAATTATTTAACAAAGGTGTCTGAAACCAGACAGATGAGAAAGTGTGCCTGCATTTCACTTCAAATACACATATCTTTGGGTTTATGGCTAGTCTTTCTTGTTCATGTTGACTGGTCATAAACTTTACTAACCATCAGTTTTTTAGTTAAATGGAACCCATTGGTGTCACTATAAGACTTAATCCTGACATACTTTAAGTCAGCTGGACAGTTCCACATAGCAGATTTAGAGTATGCTAGACAAGCTTTAATGTGATGGAAATACTGTTGAAATCCATGGTGAAGCTTTAGGTGCTTTTAGTGGTACCAGCATATCATCTAATAGTTGCATTTTGAGATTTGTTTATTTTGGCAGAATTTGTATGCTGGAGGATGTGCTTCTTCCGTCCTGTATATAACAAGAACTAGAGAAGAAAAATGATTCTAACAATAACTCTTCTATAGTTGGTGTATGACCCTGTCAGTGTTAGGCATGCTTGTGTATGTATAAAGAAAAAACAGATTCTTGTAACACAGAAACTTAAGAAGAAATTGTGCTTCTTGTTTTATTGCATCTTTTCCAGTGAGAATAGCATATGCAGCATGGGTAGGGGGAGTGCAACAGTGAAGTTTACAGTGGAGCTTGAGAGGCATTGCCTTAGGGGATGAAGAAATACACTTGTGAGACAAAAAAGGACTTTGCTGCTTCTTCTATTCTGATCTCATTAGCCTATGCAATGCCTTTTTTTAGACTTGCTAACTACTAAATGACTACTTGGAATTGCAAACAGGTGCCCCCTGCCCAGCTTTTGCTCCTTTTACAGAATGTATGTGAAAATATGCTTTTGTAAGTTTAGCTGTGACTGAATTAGAAAACTCTTTCTTTGTTCCCAGTGTGTCTCATACAGTGTACACAGGTACTTGACTACAATATTGGCATTTTCAATTATGAGTAGTCTTTAAAAAGAAAAAATCAAAATGACAAAACTCTTTTTTTACAACTATTATTTTTTTTCAGGCAATAATAAATAGCACTATCACCCCCAACATGACATTTACTAAAACATCCCAGAAGTTTGGTCAGTGGGCAGACAGCAGGGCGAATACAGTCTATGGCTTGGGATTTTCATCTGAACATCACCTTTCGAAAGTAAGTATGACCAGTGGCCACTATTCAGCTAGTCAAGTGGCTTAAGAATATTTGATTCCTGCTCCTTGTATCTTGACTCAGTGCTCCCTACTGTTGTTATTTAAAAACAATTTACAAAAAAATGTTCTTTACAAAAAAATGTTTGGTATCGAGCCGTATGATGTAAAAAGTGAAGATGAAGTGTGGTACCTCCAAACATACTTTTAACTGGTGGAGGAAAGAAGGGAGATTTAAGCTATCACAGTGTATGTTGTCAGTGCTTTCTAATTACTCATTCGTTAGGTTTCTCTTTTTTAAAAGTTGTTCTTCCATTACAGGTATTCATGACAGAATTTAAAGGAATAGACAATTTAGTGTTTCTTCTATATTTAGATCTACGAGAAAAAAAAATTGTTGGTAGTCTTCAGATGCATTTTTGTCTTTTTGAGCCATATTCACTTTCACTTTTCTACTATGTAGTGTATCAAATTACAGATATTTCAACATCTGCAGGCTTAAAGTAAAGCTAGTGGGAAATACATTCAGTGTAAAAGAAAACTACATTTTCCTGTTGGAATACAAGAGTCGAAGTCTTTACTAAAGGAACTCTGTGCCATATGTGCAGGTTTTTTTCTGGTCTACTTGTGCAGGAGGGGAAGTACACCTTATTCCAAGGAAAGCAGTAACCCCTGTTTCTCAAACTGATGGTATAGTTCCTCTGAGCACCCTTTCTACAATACCTATTGCTGTTGATACTACTCCGGTAGATGGGTCCAGGAACCTGTACAAGCCAGTATCATTTTTCTTCAGAAGAGGAATTTCAGTTCAGTTTAAGAACATCTCTACATTGAGCAGAGAATTTTCCTCTTTGAAGTATACAAAAGATCTGGAAACCCAAGTGCAAGAAAAGGAATATATAGTACATGTTTAAGTAAAGAATAATGACTGGCATGTTATTTAAAAAAAAAGTAATCATACCAGTCCTTTTGAGAAAGTAATTGTCACTATCCAAGGATAAGCATGGGCCTGTTAGAAAACCATTAAAATGAGAACCAATACATCTGCTTTATTTGGACAAGTGTTACACTTGTAATATTTCTTCGTTTCATAATCAGATAGCTTTCGTTTCCACGAAGCAACACAAGCACAGGAAATTCTGAATGGTGACTAATATTCCATGTGCGTTTGTGCACCTATCATTGCTTCAGTGAACTTGGAAACTTTGTCACTTACTTAAATTGGTGTGTATATCCTAGAGGCACTTGCTTACCAATGTGGTAATAACTTTTCTTAATATTTCAATGAATTTTGCAGAAATGCTAATTTAGTTTACCTCTCTCATAGACTAGTTTGTTTTACTTAATGACAGAATGCTTCTTTGGTGGCAAAGTGTCATGCTGTAGTCATGCACACTCTGTGTTTGCCTGACTTTAAACATTAGGTTATCCTTGCCAGTGAAAATATTTTGGGTTGACTCTTTTCTTGCTCTCCCCATGTGGTACTTACTGCCTTCTTATTTACAGTTGCAATTCCATTCTTTCACTGCCCTCATATGGATGTTAACCTTGGCTTAAAACTTTATATTGTTGCAAAAATAATTGGAAAAGCTACAGTAGATATTTTGTATTAAGTATGTGTTTGATTAGCAGTTAGTCAAATTGCTGTGTTTTATGAGAATACGCAAACCTGTTGAGAAAACTACCAAGTCACAGACCTTTTCTGAAGCTTATAGTGATGAATCTTCAGGACCTTTTCAGCAAACTGTTCCTGTTATATTATATTATAATTATCAAACTGACATTCATGTGAGTAGAAACTGCTGATAGTTGCTACTAAAATTCATAAAGGTAAAACTTTCTGTGTTATTTTAAAATTAACAAACGTATTTGGTGGGGAAAGGAAACTTTTCTTTAGGCTACAGCCTATTCAGTCACTGGATTTGGTAGATATGTTGGTCTTGGAATCAGAAAAGCTGAATTGGAAACCCTGGATCTGCTGTGTGGCTTTAGGCAAATCACATCTATATTCTCTTTCTCATCTCGTCTCTCTGCTCAGATTACTAACTCTCTCGTCTGTGCACTGGCATTGTAGTCAGGTTTATCAGAGCACTCTATGGGACACCTAGCACTGTAGGACATGAAATCTAATTTAAGGCTCAGGTTACTATGGGATATTAGTAATAGAGCTAACAAATAAACTACTAATGGATTTGTTCAGAAACAGGTTGCATGTAGTTTGTCTTAAAAGTTGATTCTGGAACTTTTTTTCTGTATTTGATTTATCAAAGTCTTTAAGTGGATGGCCCTGTTGTATATAATTTGTTATACAGTAGTGTCTGTTGGCCCCAGTGAAATATTTCAAGTTCCAGGGAGCAAAAGACAGCCTGCAACCACAAAAAATTTAGTCTAGTCTGTCACTGATTTCAACAGGTTAATGAAGCAAATAATCAGAGCAAATAGAGTAAACTGTTCTCAGATCATTGTCTGCTTAGCTTACAGTAAATGTTTGACTTCTGGACTATTTGGTTTTGGTTCATATGCCTTTGTCCTTCTAAACTAATTATTAGTGTAGAGTGCAACAGCGGTAACCTCTTTCTGTACAATTATTGTGACTGAGAATTAGTGGAGTGAGAATATCTGATACAGAAATACTGGCACTCTAATGAACTTCACACACAAACAGTACAGAAGATAATTAATTAAACATTTATTTATCTTCATTAGACCTTTTCTTAATGTGTTAGACCACAAATTCACCTCGAGGTTGTTCCACCAGAAGTCGGTGATACCTGAAGAATGATTCCTGTATTGAAGAATACTCCTTCCGCAGGATCAGGATTGCTAGCAGAGTCCCTCTTGCTGCTGCAGTAGGAGGAATGGAATGTTCCATGATCTTCAGAAAAAAATGAGACCTCTTTCTCATTCACAGTATAAGTCTGTGCTTTTGATGGTATCCTGATGAATGAGACGAAATATTCCTTTTCAGGTTTGCTGTCTGTCTTACACCTTTGAATTAGTTGACCTGCTTTATTCCGTATAACTTAAGAGTATGCTAAATGGCAAAAGTGCCACCACAGATACTTGTGAGAGCCTCTTGTAGTCTCCCTGCACAATTTTTCATCTTTTCTTTAAAATATTGATCCTACAGAGAACCTTTCCTTTCATACCATGAGATCTCATCTTTGTTATTCAGGAATTTCATCAAGAGGTTGCTGTTATCCATCACCTGACTTATTTCAAGAAATTCTAGATTTGTGAAAATTTCCACTACATTAGCCTTGTTGGCTCTTTCTTAGGCTGTTACCTGTTTATCTGTCTATTACGTATTTTTTTTACAGTTTCTACCACTGCGATACAGAAGGTCGTATCTACTGCCTTGTATGTCTTCAGCCATTTATTCTAAACCTCAGCATCATGTTTTCCATTTACAAATTCTCTGGTCTAAAAGCTGATTTAAATAATAGGTTACCCATCAGATTTTGAGGTCTATGTACAAGTCTTAAATAAGTATCATCTAGTTCTGGTGATCTGTTGACAATCTTAGCATCTGTTCTGTGATGTTTTTTGATGCTGGGTTAGACTTTCATGGTGGTATCTTTTGTCTCCTTATATATTCAGGAAATGTATGCTTTTAAATAACCTGACAGATGAAATATAGGATACAAGTGGAGAGAAATGATATTTCCTCAAATACTAATAGCCTACCAGGAAAAGTTTAAAGACAATAAGGTTTTTTGTGTCTTGCATAGCAAGTGAAATTCTGACTGAAAATAGTTGAGGAGATTGTGTCACACAAAGGGTAGCCTTTGTGCTTTCTAAATACATGCATTGCAAAACAATTTCTTTGTATGGTGCTGCTGGAGAGATGTAGAAGCTGTTGGTGAAGCTTCCAATGTTTTTGCAGAATCATTTCAGTCTTAAGCTGATCATAATAAGATAATGTTCTGTATAAAAGCACTAGGAAACAAAAACAAATGCTTGGCTACTACAGCAATTAGTGTAGCATCAAACTGAGATGTATGAAGCCAAGTTTTTCTCTAGTCAGAGAAACTAGGCCCTATTCTTAATAAACTGACTTAATCTCAAGTTTAAGAGTGCATGTATTTCTAAATTGCTGCTTTAGCCATTTTTTTGAAGAGGGACATGTAGCATTGATATCAAGCTTCATATGGCAGTTCAATGGGCAATCCTTGAATTTAGTGTTCAGTATATGCAAGTGTTTAGTTCAGTGAATTTGGATTGATGTCAATGAACAATCAAGAAATGAACTTGACTCAATATTCCCACTGCTGCTTTCCTAATTAGCTGTTAAAATTATAAATGCTGTTAAAATTTGGAAAGAAATCAGTGTTGTTTCAGTCATAGAAGAACAAAGCCCATTGAAAGCTCTAGGCTAATAGTGACCACAGTAGGCTTCAGAACCAGATCATTTGTTGTCAGGAGGAGACTAAAACATGAATCTGAAAGCAGCTGTGTAAGGCAGCTTGGCGCTATTATTAGCCATCTCTGAGGTGAGGTTTTTTAACACTGTCAGCAACAGATGAAACTTCATTGCATCATAATTTTCCTGACATATAAACAGTGTACACATTATGTCTGAAAAGTACTAAAAGGTGTATCACTGTGTAACTCACTTAAATGAGTATCTAATAAGGAGAAAAATTTAAAAAATTCTACTGACAGAATTTGTCTTTGTAAAATGTTAAGTACAGCATTCTGTTCTGCATGTAATGTACTACTTCACGCCTACTCTTTCTCTTTTTCCTTTTTTTTTTTTTAAACATATGTACCTTCAGTTTGCTGAAAAATTTCAGGAATTCAAAGAAGCTGCACGACTAGCAAAGGAAAAATCCCAAGAAAAGATGGAGCTAACAAGTACACCTTCTCAAGTGAGTCTTATTGCCTGATTCAAAGCTAGTACTTTCATAGCTGTGCTATTTACTGTATTGTATCTTACACACACGTATTAAAAATGAATGGGGTACTTCCCAGTCACTGTGAATCCTTTCAACATTCAGAAGTGTCAGGAGGTTTAAGAATACATTTAACATGCACTACAAAAGTGTACAAGACACTTGCTTTAAAATAAAATTGGCCTTTTGCCTTTTATTTATTCCCATTCCTTTCTTTGAGCTTTCCTATGAGTAAACATGGTGAGTGTAAGTAAATGTAAGTAAATCTATAGTAAACACCTTTTGTGTTTTTTCTAATTTTATCTGTGAAACTTCAGGCAGTGCACTGTAAAGTACTTTTATAGAAGAATCATAACAACAAAAATCAAAGTTAAAACAGCAAAGTATTTTTACTTATTTCCTACTGTATAGTATTCACTTGTGAAGTGTGTTGAAGGAAGATGACAGATTCACATGCTGGTTCTGGAGTTTTAGTGCAGTTAGCCGTGATGTAAAAGAAGAGTTTATAAAAAAGGTATCTCAAAACATGAACTGGGTTAATATAGTCCTAACAGGAGGATAAATTAATATAGTCACATTTACATTAGTCATGCCTAAAATTAATTTACTTGAAAATGAGTACTTTGAATTTGCTTCAAAAAAAGAAATTTCATGAGGCTTTTATGCCCCTCCACTCCCACCCCCTCTGCCCACTGTTTCTGGTTCTGTGTGTAGCTGTTTGCTTTGTTTAAAGCAATAGTGAAGACAAAGGTAATTCCTTCTCTTGGAGGATGAAGCAGCTTTAAAACTACAGCAGGGGTTCCTGAGCTGAGTAGGATTAATGCAGCTGAGTCTTTTTTTCTGGGGAGTCTTCGTTCATTGAATCAGTGCATCTCTTGGGTGCTTTGCACTGTAACGTGCTCCTGATCTTTGACGGAACAAGGGTGGCAGGCAGTTTGCAACAAGCTGTACGAACAGTTTTATTGCCACCAGAAAGCTACATCTGGTGCCCTTCCAAGAGAAGTCAGTGGTAACCACAAGAATATACACAATGAATCAACCTCATGTTTTTTTTCCGGTAGGCATTTTGCCTAAGTGCTAGGTTGGCTTTTGCTATTAAGGGGAAACTGCTTGCTGTACTGTAACAGGAGAAAAATAAGGCAGTCTTTTTTTGTTAGTTTTCTTGACTGTCTCTAAATTTCTGATAAATTCCATAAATAAACACAGATAATGGAAGTAGGTGTTTCCATATTATAACCTAGTATACACTTGGCTTTAGAACCAGTGAAGTGCTTCTGCCAGCCTTCTAGTTACTGGATATTATGGGCAAAACAATTACTCTGCTTCTCTTTTGACATGTTGATTAATAGTCTGGACTCAGAAGTTAAATCTGACACTGTTGAATGGATTGACTTATAACTGGTTTGAACATAAATTTGAACTACTCACTCAGAGACAAGATACTCTCATCTAGCAGCTGCCCAGGGTTGAAGCTTTCTCTTGAACTATATGAGCTATTAATATTGTTCATTTTCCTGTACAGATTTCCTTTTATACTTGGAACCTAACATTTTATACTGTAGGCAGTTACAGAAATGTTACCTTGAGTGGTTCTATAATGCATGCTGAGAGCTGCAATTTAATTACTGCACACTTAGGAATAATTTCATGTTCAGGCCTTACTTTTCATCTTTTGGCTTTTTGCTGTGTTGATAAGTTAGCATATTATTCTGAAAGACACTGTTAATGCAAGTGCTGACACATCAGCATAATAGTCTTCACATACTTAAGGCTTCTCATTAGTTCCCCAGAGAGAAGGGAGTTGAATCAGGAATGTTGGAGTTTGGAGCAGATGAGAAGCAATGGCTTCATGGCAAACTGCAGCACTTCCATGATGCTGGAGCTCATTCAAAGAGATTTATGACTGGGGCAAGAATGGGTGCATGGGTATGGGGAGGGAAGGTGGGACCCTAGAGACATGTGAAGGAGCACTTGCTGTCATTTTGATCATCTGCCAAAAAGTGGCTGCAAGGCAAGTAATTCAAGTATTGCCTTTCTTGCAGTGGCCAGTCAAGACTTCACAGGAGCCCAGCTTTTTTAGGAAGCTTTGAGAGGAAAGGCATTGGGAGGTAGTGTGTGAGTAGTGAGCTCTGTAACGGTAACCCAGTTAGCGACAAGTGTTAATTGCTCTTCTGTTTTGGACTTGTAGATGTCCTTCTGCATTACATTATTAATAGGTAGGAAGATAGGGCGTATCAAGGCTGGAAAATATACATGGCAAATAAAACTTTATATTTCTTTTGGTACTGCTTTATAAAATGCCCTTATTATTTACCAGTTAAAGTACCAGGTATGGTACATTGCCCACCTTCTCTGCTACACAGTTCTGAAAAGTACATGTGCTTTTTTCTGCATTCAGTATGTCCCTACAGGTTGAATCTTTATTAAAATACCTCTACAACTAGTGTAACAAAACCCTGCATGAGGTATTTGCTCTTCACTGTTGTTTGATGTAACCCTGCAAATACTGCTGGTATGTGTGAGTTTCAGTTCTGAAGGTCCTGCAAAAACTTGTTGTGAAACTAAGGAGAAAGAGAAAATGAGGTAATAATGGAAATATCTATCTCAGAAATAGAACATGTGTTGGTAGTTCAAGGACTTACCAGAGTTAACCATGTTACAACTTAAGAACAATCTTATCTATAGTCCACTGAAGTTAGGCTGCTTCTTTAAGGTGTTATGAGCTTTAGCAAAATGTTGGTACTATTTGGCTAGATATTTCCACCAGAAAAGTGCCTCAATGGCCAGGAAGTAGTAGTTCACGTTAAGGATTTTTTGGATGTGCTGTTTCATCTGATAGCATGTATTCTTCGGCAGGGTGTGTGGGTGTGTGTCTGTGTGTGTAACACATAGTAGAAAGAAAACAATACATAGCCCAATTTGCAAGTACTTAACAGCAGGAGTTCCCTTTCCCCTAAAGCTGTGCTGCTGCTAATTTTAAACTATGCATTCTTACAGTTTCTTTAATACTGCCTGTTCTCCTCCTGTTTACCAGCAGGTTTTGCTTTAATTTCCCAGAATATCTGATAATATATAAAATCACCATTTACCTTGATTGTAAAAAGAACTTAACTTGTCCAGAGAAAGACAGTGGCCTGGACCAATAAATTACGAGAGAGATGCTCTTATGTTATGTGTAAGTCCCACTGAGTGCACGGTGCTTTCTTTAAGAGGAAAACATTGTTCCTGTGCCAGAGAACTTGTACTTTCAACCCATCTATATTAAGATGGATTAATATAGTAATACACACTTTATCTATACCTGATATGTTTCGTGGATTCAGTCTAGAAAGTAGTTGTCTATTTTGGTACTTCTAAGACCACCTATGCACAGAGGTACCCCATCTGGTGTCCCTTCAACTCAGCGTTAGGTAATAAAGCTTTGCAATGCTCTTATCTGGTTTATATAAAACTCAAATACTGGCTCCCCTGCTGTGCCACCTCTATTTCCCAGACCCATCTGTTAATATAGGGAATTATTTTGCTCATGTCATAAACTTATGGATCTTACAGTGACAAGCCACCCATGGCCTATTTTCAGTTACAAGATTGCCAGTGCACTGAAAGATCAACACTTCAACTTGGAGTTCACTGACCTGCATGAAGCAATAGCCTGAAAACAGTGTCGTTCTCCCCCCCCCCCCCCCTTTTTTTTTCTTTTTTAAAGTAACCTTAATTGGGTTCAAGTACAGAACCAAATAGAGCAGTTTGTTTGCAGTCTCACCACATCAGTCTTACAATCAGCTGGAGTCTGAACCTCAGTTCTTCTTTTTCTTTAAGCAAGAATCTGTCCTCAGATATTTTATTTGACCCTGATAATTTCAGATTAAGACATCTGTTAATTTCTGAAAATGTATGGTGAGTAATTCACTCAAAATAGTCTTGTCTGTGATTCTGAGCCCCTCCTATACAGACTGTTAGCAATAGCTATTGCCTGAAAAGTTCTAGACACACAACATTTTTTAGTGCATGGAATGGGTTGGTTTTGACAAAATGGTCATGGTTTATCACCTGTTAGCTTTTTCTTTGTAGCAGTACAAAATGTACTTACAAAGCTTGTGGGAAAAATAACCTTCTGGGATGTTATGTGAATTTCTATACTGGAACAAATGTTTCACATGTGTTAACGGTATCTGAGTCAGTAACTGGCAGACTTACGCCATTGCCATTCAGTACTGAACATAGAAGCAGTATGAAGAACAGCAATGCCAGGGAAGTGTATAGAATATTTAATGAGAAAACAGTATAGCAATTAATAAGAAAACAAGATGGAATTGGTTTGGTTTGTTCATGATTTTAGAACCATCTACCTACTCCTTTTCTTCTGTTCTGTATTTAGTCACCATTAAAAAGTGGCTTGATCTGTGCTGTGAAGTCTGCTTGTTTTACTTTAAAAATTCTTTCGTGAGTGCATGCATTTTGTTGATAAGATTTTGAAATTTAAGGCATCTTTTGATGAATTCCCTCTGTTATGTTTAGTTTATATAATGTAGGCAATGTCATTTTTATACTGCTTGACATCACTGAAGTCCTGCATACTCATTAGTAGGGCCAGAGCTCCTTTAGACAGTGCAGATCTCTGACAAACTCTTAAATAGCACGATATACATGAGTCAGACACTCACATTTACTTGTCATGTAGAAAAACACTAATCCTCAGTCCACGTGTAAGTCCAGGACTGGTGAGTCACTTAAAGTTCAATATCCTCCAGAAACCTACATATGAAAGAATAGTGGTTTTATGCCACAGGAGAGCTGTTAATCCTTTCTTCTCAAATGCATGAAATACCTATTTGTAGCTGTCATGAGTGGGAAATAGCAGGCCTTAAAATATATCACTGATTTTCAGGAAGACTTGTAGTTTTCAATTTAAGCACTGTTTTTTTCCATATAGTGTCTATACAGTTGACTGTTAGAACTAAGTTAACTGGTTCTCCCAGCTAGGAGGGAAGGGTGCAAATCTCTTTTTAAGCTGACTGCAGTTTCTTCCCCAACTCTGGAGTGGATGTGTGAAGCTATAATGGTATGGAATAAAAAATTCATTACATATGAACATCTCACAAAAATGTTTCTAAAATTCTTTTATTCTCTTTAATTAATATAAAATGGGAACATATTATTTGTAAACATTTGTAAAAAATTTGTTCAGTGTAAGTGGCTTTTTCAGTTGTTTTTGGTGTTTTATTCATAGCCAACTTCATTATAGTTGCCTGCAAATAAATTATTTATCACGCAGGGATAGTTGTGAGTGTGTGAGAGCACTGATTAACCTGTATTATTGGTGGAAGAAATACACACTAGAATCTCATGCTTCTCTTGTACATAAAAAATCAGCCCCTCGTGAATTTGCAAGCAGTGAACCTTTAGGTATTACACAGACTGTGATGTTTGTCTGCATTAGTTTTTGTCACTTGAATTTCATTCACATTAGAAGTCTGTGAAAGTGCTTTACTGAAAAATGAGCGTAGATGGAACTTACATGTTTGTTTTTCTTCTGCTGAAATAATTTTTATGCATTCACGCTTAAAACATCTTAATAAGTGGCCTCTGGCTTTATGTACCTAATAATAGTGTTGTAGAAATTTAGCTTAAAGATACAAGCCATCCAGATTTTGTAGGGTGTGGTATGTATTTTTAGAATAGTAGCATAGTTTGGGAAGAGGAGGAAATAAAAGAGAAACTCTTGGGTCCATAAAGGCTTTCATTTAATGTCACTGGAAACTGTTTATCAAGTCAGAAGCTAATAATAGACAAAACTATATAATTTGTATAGAATAATTCATTTGCTTGATGATCTTCCAAGCTCTGCTCTCCTTTCACACTTAATTTCAATTCAGTTTCAGTTCAGTAAAATTGTTCTGCAAAAACAAAGATTTCATTTTGACTTGTAGTATTAACAGTTAAGATAATAGTTTTGAGAACAAAATAACGAGATTCTTCCTGAAAGTAGGTAACAATTTGCATTCATGTAATAAAAAAATTTACATTTCTATTATAAATAACAGTTTATATCTGTGGAATTAATTCAGTGTAAGCTTACTATTTCTGCTTTTTAATCAGCAGAAATTTAATAAGGTGCAGAATGGAGACACTGGTGCATGTGCATTTTATAGCTTGATGAATGCTAAACATAATAGAACTTGAAGTCATTATTAGAATGTTGTATCACGCACGAATTCAAGTTGTAGAATGAGATACATATCTCTCGCTATGTGAGAAATGTGGCAGAATAAAAGCAAAATTTTGACAGTTGTTGTGCTGCAAGTGCCTAACGTACTTTAAAGTGCAATGAAAATGTTGAACAAGATATTTTTGGTTAAGGGATACCAGAAAGGTGTGGAAAGTGATCATGACAGCCAGATCTTACTTTCTGTAAAAGAAGTCAGTTTTTCCATCTAGTTAAATCTCAAAGTCAAGGATGACATTTCCTGTAGATGGAGGATCAGCTTCAGTACTGGCTTTCAAAAAGCCTTATCCTTGTAAACTAGTTGAAGGCTACAAGTGGAGGCTCAAAATTAGGCCCTGGTCTTTAAAGATCATGACCATCTTCAGATATTTTGTAATTCCTTCTGAGACTGCTGTTCTTCAGCTTCCTATGCAGTGTCAAAGAGCTGGGAAGAGGAGCTGCTGGCCTTCCAGATACTGCGCTTGTGCTTCAGTTTAATAACTTTAAACAGCGGTTTTATCTGTTCCTCATGCAGATGGTAGAAGGCTGTGTGGCCATAGGAGATGCTTAGCTTTTGGAAATACAGTAATTCAGCCAGTCCTCCGCTGTATAGACATCCTTCCATGTCATCATTGAACGCTATTCATGAAACTCCTCTATCTTAAAGTGCTACCACTTGATTACTGAAAGCCTGCTAAGACATTTTAAAATCAAGATGAGCTACTTAGCTTATATGACTTGCTTATCTCATGCAAAAATCATTACTTGAAAAAGAATATAATAGGAAAGGAAATACTAAAACCACATACAGGGACTGAAAAGTCTATAACGTTCTAACTTAGGATGTGGGCTACAAGGGTGTACTTTGTATGAAAAAGAATTAGTTTTCAGTGACTAGAAATCAGCAAATGGTGTTTTTTGGCCAAAACACAAATGCACATGTTACCATGATAAAGGGTGATTAAAAAACCACACCAGTGCCTTTGCTGGGAGGCAGCCATTAAGGTTTTTGGGTGTCCAGTTACATAGCAGTAGCAGAAGCTGCCTGGGTGTAGCTGGAGTATTCTCCTTCCCAGATAATACCATGACCAGCAAGCGGTAGGCCAGGCTAATGTGCCTGCAGAGGTTTTGCAAGGACTCTGCTGAACAAGTGTTCTTTACAGATGGCTCATAGGTGGAACAGTGAATGCACCTTCAATGGGCCTTCCACTGTTCTCTTCAGTTAATAAACAATATGAAAGCTAGATTTTGAAACAAATATCAGAATTGTTTGTTTGACTGTGTTAAAATATAAAGTAAGAGACAAGAATCCTGGATGTCAATAGTCACACATTGTGTAGCAGGATGAGGGCTGAATGTAATACCAGGTAGGAGAGAGGTCTGTAATAAGCAGCAGGCTGGATGCCTGAAAATAATTTGTAGGTCAGTTGTGTTTTTTACAAGCCAATGTGACTCTTACGGTAGTATACTTCTCGATTAATTTCATATGATGAATCCCATGAGGGATGCTGGAAATTTGAGCCTCACGTTAATAGTAGCTAAAATCTGTGTATCATTTAAGAATTAATGTTAGTGCTTATGTGCACATAGCCTTCCTGAGCAGGTCAGTTTGTAATTTTAATGTGTTGTTTATTTTACTTAAGGAATCAGCTGGAGGGGATATTCAGTCTCCTTTAACGCCGGAAAGTATTAATGGGACAGATGACGAGAGAGCGACGCCGGAAGTGACACAGAACTCAGAACCAAGGGCTGAACCAACCCAGAACGCATTGCCATTTACCCATAGGTACAGATTCCATTCCCACATCCTGATTAAGTGATACCTGTCTCCTTCCTCGTTAAAGGGACCTTTTCCCATATTGTGTGAAAAAAAACAAAACTCAACCCCCACAAAAAACCCCTGGACTGGCCCTCAGATTTGCAATATAATCTTTGTTTTTAAAAAAAAATATGTATGAGAAAAACTCTTGGAATAAGATTTGGGGGAACGTTGCTTTATAGCTTAATCAGCTTAATATGAGCCCTTGAACACTGGTTAGTGTAGGTGTCCCTTTAACAGGAAGCATTATTTCAATGTCTGAGATCTTAGTGAAATTAACTGCTTCATAGAATACTCAAATTATTTTTGCACACATTCTTTAAATGACTGATAGGACTGGATGTCAGCCTTTCATTGATGAGTTGTTGGAAGAAAAGGGACTCTTACAACACTTCTGCATTATGAAGTTTAAAGCAGCCTTTAACTGAACAGTTGAAAACATTTTTCAACTTTTTTTGAAATATGAGAGAAATGTAGTTCTACTTCAGACTGAATTTGTTGCACTAGGAATGCTGTGTTCTATTGTTCTTTAAGAAAGCTATGACTTTTTATTTAATGATACAAATAAGGAGTTAAGATGGATGTATCTTGCCTATTAGAAATAATTGTAAATGGGTCACTCTCATTAAAACACATAATGTATTGAGACCATGGAGAGTAAGTGAAACATTTAATAAACTTAGAGCAGAGCTAGGAATACTAGATTCATGTTTTTAAACATTCTAATTCAGTTTAGATAGAGCTTAAGAGCTCTTGATCAAAGGTTGGGGAATACTAGGACATCAGATATGTCATGCAATTCAGAATGAGCAGAAGTGGAACTGGTATTGTGCAGGACTTCTCACTTTTTGTAAGAGAATAATACTATCAATCGTATCTGAAAAAATAATATGCATTTTCAAATGAGAAAAAAACTTTACTTTTGCACTAATTTTTTAACAGAGTGATTGTGTTTATTTTTATACTTCCAACTGTCACCAGTGCATCTATTATAAGCTTTAGAAGAAATGGTGCTTTGTGAGAGTGCTGTGTGCATGTTGAAGGAGTATTACAAATATTGCACGTCTGTTAGTGTTCTGTAACAAGTTCATTTGAACTGTTTGTGTGTTGGAATTCTCTATCAATATTTTTGTGAAAAGGAGTTGTGATAAAGTCCACACGTGAGTAATGTTGTTTGTTTTTTTAAAAAATGATAGCTGCAAGATCTCCCCTGTCATTCTGCGTATGTAAATACGTTTTCTGGTATGTCAAATAGTAACTACGCTTTGCTCTGCATCGAGCATGACTGAAGATACGTTTGAAACTACGTGGTTGTAATTTTTGATGGTGTAGAATAGAGGTTACAAAACTTTTACGTGCTTTGCATTTTTCTATCTGTCATGCATGCAGTGTGAGTGCCTGATTTTAGGTTTTTGTCCCATTAAATACCACTAGCTAGAATTGGTCTTCCAACAATAACTCTGCATTTTGAGGGTCACTTTTCATGATGATTCTCAAAAGACCAGTGTTTTGTCTTGCTAATGGTAGCTTCAGATTTGTTAGTGAGCTATTAGTGAAGAAAACACAAATTTTTAAAACCCTTTGAAATAAATTTATTTTTGGACTAGGTAAGGTTTTTATTATAAATAAATAAAGAATATTTATTTATTATAAGTAAATAAAGATGCATGAAACACATGCATGAAATAGATGGAAAGTGAAGCCTCCAGGATCGTGTTAGTGCTGGTTAAATGGGCATGTTTCTGTAGAGGCATTTCATAATACTGAATTGGCCACTAGGTAGACACACCTAGCTGCTTGTGCTGGCTGACAGGGTGCTCTCTGCAGGCGGTCTACTTGACCTGATTTCGAAGAAAAAAAAAATTTAAATTTAAAACCTTACACCCCAATCATTGGAGTCTCCCTGGGCTTTTCATGCGTTAGGGGTACAGAAAGGGATTGTGCTCCTCCTTGTTCCTTGATGGTGCAACGTGTTGGTGGCACTGCATGTCTGACAGAGAGGAGTTGCCGAACCGAACCCTTTCCTTGTGCACCTTGGTAACTCCTGCCAATCACTGAGCCTTGTCCTCCTGCCCCCTGCATTTCAGGAAAGGTGAAGTTTAGCCAGTGCTTCCGGGTGAGGAGGGTGACGCTGGAAGGGCATTTGAGTGTTGCCTGGTGCATGGCAGTGCTTTTTACATATTTGCCTTTACTCCAGGAGCTGTTGATCAATTGCTAGGCGCTTTTCAAAAGAAAAGGCGTTGTGGTCTTCCCTCCAATGAGTTCTGCTGTAGGGGACACGAGAGTCACTGAGGCTGGCTGAGCTTCACTGAAATAACACTACCATATCAAGTCCATTTCTTCCATAAATAGGAAAGCTATATTCTGCTCTGGCATTGACAAATACATACTGACCCTGCGAGGAACCAAAAGGAGTGGTCCTCGGTGTAGGCTGGAGCCCAGGGAAGGCACATGTGGGGCTGCATGTCAGCAGCCCGGGCAGCCATGGGGCAAGCGTTGGAGCTTCGTGGGCAGGATGAGGTGCCACAGCGCTGCAAGGAGAGGTGGCTGGTGAGGTGGGAGCTGCATTGCTGACAGGAGGGTTGGCAAGCTCAGCCAAGTGCAGGTGTCTCTGCCGCTGGGGGCAGGCGTGAAGATTTGAAGGGGGCTGCTGTCAAAACAGTGGTACAGGTAAGGGGTTTTCATGTCTTTGTATGAACTGGAAGGGTCTGACAGGAGTTAACAAGGTCAGAGATCACAGGTGTGGAGGTCATGCTTAGCTGACGTCTTACTACTTGTCATTTTTAATCTGCACACCTGAAAAATGTTCAGTTTGATTTTGTTTTAACATGTCCTGGCTGGCCACATATGTCCTCTTCTGCAAGTGTTCTCTGTGCTTTTTCTGTCTTAGTGTAGGTAGTTGGGGCCTGTTATTTCAGCAGCATAGGTGTAGACTACATTGGTATTTATAGGTATTTTCTGACCACTTACACCCAAAAGCTGAAAAACAGCATTACTTAAGTCACCAGAGTTTTGTTACTAGAACTCAAATTTCTTATTATTTCAGTAAATAATTGTAAGTATTGAAGTGAACATTCTCCAGTACATGTCTAAAATCCCATTCATATCCTGTGAGCATAATAGAAGTCTAGGTGCTCCAATTTATCCTCATCTGGGAAGCCCTAATGCTGTTCACAAGCAGTGCAATGCTAGTCAGCTGCTTGAGAGATAAGCATATTAAACAGCTACGAGCCTTGCACAGAAGATAAACTCTTGTAATTGAACATCTTGCCTTCTTTTAAACTATCTATCATGATTAATGTTGAATTATGAAGTAATATTACTTGGGAACTCCCACGTCCTGTAATATACGTATGTAAGGGCACTGCTCTTACAAATAAATGTTGCCACAACAAATGAAAGTAAAATGGAGCCCAAGCCTGGCATTAGAATTTCTAAAAATCTTGGCTGAGACACTGATTGGTCCTTTTCTGAACGATAGCTATTCCAGGAAGGCTTTCTTCTCACAGAAGTTAGTTAATCAAATCTAATATTTAAAATAATTAAGACTAAAAAAGTATGTATTTTTGTTCTTAATTAAATCTTAGTTTCCTTAGACAACTTCCTTGTTTAAAAAACATTTTCCACATTCTTTAAGTTGTGATTTTTTTTTTTCCCCCAACTGAAAACTATTGATCATAAAATGGGGTTTGGAGAGAAAAAACTTGCTAAAAAATTTTAACTACTTCTGATGTGCTGGCTTTTTAATAAAAGTTTTAATCCTGATGGTGCATAGTATACAATTCTGGTCATCTGAATGAGCCCAAAGAAATAGTATACTAAGTTTATTCAGCCTTAGAATATAATTCAAATATTAAAAGTGAATAGTGTATCTGGCAAACTCTGCAAAAACTGCTGTTTGGGGCGTTTTGGTAACTCTTTGGTGAACTTGCTCTTTCACCCTTGAAGAGAATACATTTGTTTATAACAAGCTTTATTCCATTTTTGGTACCTTAAGAAGCTGATAAAACACACTTCCAGAAACAAAATGTAAGAGGATTCTTCTGGGACCAATCTTGAAAGTCTTCAATTTTGTGTCAACCCTGCCATGAACCTGTTACCTCATTTTTTCTTGTAATACATAAACTTGGAATATCTATGACATAATGTTTTGATCAGAATATATATGTGTGTGTGTTTGTTGCTTGTTCGTTAAAATTCCTATTTTTGTATTCAAACAAGTTTTTAATAGGGAATTTTGACTCATTGCCTTAGTGAAAATGAACTTATTTCAAATGACGTTTATATCTTAGATATGTTATTGTCTAGATAGCTTACCATTTAATGATGTTGCATGTAAATCCAATGCTGTACAACAAAGAAAAAACAAAAATCTTGCTCCTAGCTCGTGTTCCTTCACCGAGTTTTCATTAAAAGTTGTATGCAGAAATCTATTAGTAGCTTTTTCACTTTGTGTATTAAAACTACTTATTTCTACAAGCTTAAATATTTTAGTTATGTTACAGTAAAGGTACTTTGTGGATCATGCTGAACTGTTAAGTTGGCTTTAAGGAAAAGTTTTGAGTTAATAATTTTTGTGGTGTTTTGTAATTTGGATTTATACTCAAATCCTAGCATTTGGATGTTCTTTATAGGGTTATGCATAGCTTCCTTACCCAGTAGTTCTGGGGGAATGTATTACTTTTTTAAATTCTCGGTTTTGAATGTTATTTAACCTATCATAGGATAATTTGTTGTTTTGAGGAAGCTCAGGAGCTCTCTAATCCAAGCTCCTGCACAAAGAAGGTCAGCCATGAGATCAGACCAGGCTGCCCTAAGCTTTATCCAGTTGGGTTTTGAAAACCTTCTAGAAAGGAGACTGATAAAGCCAGGCTTTTTAAAAAGGTTTCTCTATAACATAAAAGGCTGTAACTGCCTTCACATTGCACAGTGCTATAATGAACTGTGACATTTTAGGGCACACTGGA